CGTGACTCAGTGCTGAATAAGCAAGGGGAGATGTCCGAGCAGCGAATCAATCTGCGCTCGGATGTACCCAGATGCCGAAGAAACACTTTCGAGAAGCGGACCGAGAATCGATCGCTCGTGGTTGCTGAACGGGCTCTAAAGGACAAAGCTCTGGATGGCAGACAGGCCGCAGTCCCGAGAATTGACATATCATAATAGTCGGGCGCACTACTCGCCTATCCGTCTTGATTGTACAGTCCTATCCGGGAGATTTGAGCACCAGACACCAGTGGAGGAGGGCAGCGAGTGACCAGACCAGACGAGAGAGAGCAAAGGGAGAGGACGAGGTCGTCGTGCATTGAGCGAGAAGCGCCGGCATGAGACCACTGCGTTGCATCACTGGTCCCGACAGAAAAATATGTTCGAACAGAATGAACGGCTGAGAGATAAATTCAATAGAACACGTCCGACAATCAGCATTCCCTCATGACAGTGTCCCCAAATTATGGCTAGCATTCTAGCTCTCGCGTCGCGTAGCCTCCGTGGCCTCGGACGGCGGGGTGTTTACAATACTGACAGGTGACGACCGTGAACGCGTTACGCAACCTGGGATATATGAAAGCCGCAGCGGAACTCATGATACAACGCACGCTGTGTCCAGCATGACCGTAACTGTCGTCCATCGCGAACACTCCATGTCACGTATTTCGGTGACGTCGGCATCTCTCTAATAGTCGAGTGGATGAGCATACCGAGCAAGACGACGGAGTCTTGACACTCACTAGCGTAGCACTGTATAAGAACTATATACACCATCCGCGTTAGGCAGGAAATGGAGCTCTACGGCTCCGCGATCTAGCCATGGCGCGAACAGAGTGTTGATGTGAGGCTTCATTGCGGACAACATGGCAAAGCCCTCTTGTGACTTGTCGGTTCTGAAGTAGATACTTATGCGGCCAGAATTAGAGGGCCGCTCAAAGACGGGGCGAGAAAGGATGGCATGGAAGGTCGAGATAGAGTCGATAGGGTCTGTCTGGGTGAGTGATGCTTTGTTTCGATCTTCAGATGCCTTGGAGTGGACAAGGATATTAAAACTGATGACGAGGCTCTCCAGATGCGGGGATTGGATGCCAGATAGCAAGGAACCCAGAACCCTCTGGACCCCCAGCGGTGATAATGTGCAGAAGAAGCCCATGCTCAGTTCCGTGAGTGATGTGTTTGCTGTGAGTCGCGGTATAACATCATGGATCGAGGCTACAGCAGTCTCGATGAGCGATCGCAAGCATAATAACGGGTGAATAGTGCCTTTACCGTCATCAATAAGGCAATTCCATGTGAACGTCTTGAGCTTAGCTCCTGTGACACGCAGTACCTCTGTGATACGCGGTACGAGCACTGCAAATCGGCCACCCTCTGGTAAGATGCTGAACTCCAGGGTTTCCAGTTGACTGCATGCTCGTGGGGTCGATACCAGCTTGAGAAGTGGCGATGCCCACGACATGGCGGGTACGTAGACGAGTTGGAAAGCCAACAGTGAGTGGGTGAGAGAATATGCTGCATACAGGGCCATGTCTTCCGCCGAAACAGGATTACCATGTGAGCTGAACTCCCCGCGTACCAGCAAGCGGGACAGGTTGGGGAAATGACAAAGAGATCGATGAAGATGCGAAAGCGAGGAACAGTAGAGCAGGTCTATGTCTAGGTCGACCACGGTTGGGTGCGTGGCACAGACATCCAACAGGTCTCGAGGAACCGTCATGTCACTACGATTGTCATCGTCCGAGGATGGGTAGGAAATTTGAAGAACAACTTTTTCTAGCTTGTTGCGAGACGAAGGGACATAGTCAGGCACCAAGTCGGGCATGTGTAGGTGCTGCAGCATGATGTCGCAGAGCATGAGATCTTTAAGTCCGGGTAGTGCATTGAGAATCCTACGGAGTTCCGCTACACTGCGGAAGCGACACCGCCAGAGTCGCAGATCCGTGACGCTGGTATAGGAGGAAAGGAGGTCGAAGAACATTCCATGTGGTTTGGTTCCCGCCCAGTCGCAAGTTTGTAGATATAGTTGCTGCAACTTCGGAAGAAAGCAGCCGGGGATGAGCATCGGCCAGATGTGTGCAAACGGCCTTCGAGGATTATCTGCAATCACCAGTGCATAAAACTTCCTGCAATAAGATTGATTGTCTTTCGACACCAGCATGCGCGCACAGTCGTCCAAGGCTTCTCGGGTCTTCAACGGGAGTATTTCGCCCCAGGATACGCGTCGTGCAGAGTGATACCAAGCATTGCAAACGAAGCGACACTTGGTCAGTGTATGGGGCTCGTACAGGAGGAGCTCGCAGAGGCGGTCGATGAGTTCCTGCGGAAAGCGCGGATATGTAGCACTGTGTCGACGAAGCAAACCAATAATGTCATTGAAGTAGCTGGGAACAGAGTGAACGCAAGGCATACCTTGAGTACGTGGGGGGCCTGAACTCAGGTGGCCATCCCGGAGGTAGCCCGTATTCCGAAGGATCGCTTGCGCCATTGACTTGATTCACCATTTCGTACTAGTTTCTTAAGTTATGGTCTCAGCAAGTGAGATTGTTGATACGACCTGCTCACCACGTATGGGAATTAGACTTACGCGGTGTTGAGCAATGTTGCTACGACGGCAAGTAGGGAAGTGACAACCTGCAATGAGTATATCGGTATCAGATCGTGCCGCCCAGACGATGTCTCGCGAGATCTCACCCTGGAAAGCCGTGCACTTGAGCCTCGAAACCCGTCGTACGTGCGAGGTTGACGGAGAAACAGAGGATCGACAGTGGGTTTTGACGTTGCAGACCGGCAGCAGCGGTAGGTGCTGGGAAAGCGTGGGACGACCACAGAATAGAGGAGATGGATGACCTGCGGACCTGAGCGCTCCTGAACGCTGAGCTTCCCAGAGACGCGGTCGTTCTATTGGTATGACGGAGACAATACACACGTTCGCCGCATGTCCTGAGGCGCCCTTTACACTGCAATGCTTGGATCCTGTGCACGCTGCACGGCCTCGTCGAGAACACGAGTATCAGGCCATATAGGCATAAGTTTGTATAAGATCCTTGTAGTGAGCACGGAGTGATCATACATAAACTCCAGTACTTACCTGCAGCTGTTTTCATACATGGGCTGCCACTCGCTCATGTAAAAGCGAGGCGCCGTCATGTATGAACGAGGCGCCGTCGGTCGTTACCTGATATGGCAGCTACCCCGGCCCCTTCGTCCCCGGCGGGGCGGTACCACTGGCGCGCGATGCGAGGCTACCCCATATGGATGCACATCGGGGTCAGCGCATCTGAGATCAGGTACGATCTCGAATCCCCTGCGCCGCCGCCCTGCCCACTGTGTGGCGTCGATTTCGGCCAATCCCGGAAGCCCGCAACGAGCCGAGCGAGCGGCGAGCGGTTTTGCCCGCTGTTTGCGACCTCCACCATCCTGCGTCGGCGGTCACTGACGCCGTTAGAGCATAGCGCATACGAACGGCCAACGGGTCAGCAAAGATCGGGCTTCGAAGTGAGTGCAAACGCACACGAGCAATGGAGCTGACTGTGGCCACAGGACGCGGCGATGCGCAGCACGACACGCGCGTTGACCGCGAGTACGCAGGGCTAATGCCTCGCGTGCAAACGCAGCCGACGGGCGGACCACGGGTACGGGCGCGAGCGCGAGCAGGCGGGCGGGCAGGCGGATACGCGCGCGCGCTGCGGGCAGTCTGACGGACAGGTAAGCGGATGGGTGAGCACCCGGATAGGTAGGAGAGTAGGCAGACGGGCAGGCGACAGCACATGCCCACCGCAAGTGCGCTGGGCAAATGCCCAGCACACAGATGCAGCCGACAAATGCAGGCGCAGGCGCGCGAGCAGATGAAGAGCAGGGGGCCGGACGGATGAGTGGGCAGGTGGACGAGCGGTGGGTGGACGGGCGGGCGGGCGGGCGGATGGATGACTCGGAGAGGGCGGGCGGGCGACTCGGAGAGGGCGGGCGGGCGAGTGGACGAGCGGCAGGTGGACAAGTGGCGGGTGGACAAGCGGCGGGTGGACAGGCGGCGGGTGGATGAGCTGTGGGTGAACGGGCGGCGGGTGGACGAGCGGGTGAGCAGACGGATGCATTGACAAGCAGACGAGCGGTTGGGTAGACGGACGAGCAGGTGAGCGGGAAACTGGGAGGGCGAACGGGCGAGAGGACAAGCGGGTGAGAGGGCGAGGGCGAGAGGGCAGGCGAGCATAGGGCGCGGACCAGCACCGCACGCACGGCGACCGCGAGCGTGCAGGGCGAATGCCTAGCACGCAAGCACGGTCACCGAATGCAAGGTGGGCGCATGAGCGAGAAGTGGGTGACCGCGAGTCGCGACGGCGGGCAGGGCCGGGGCGCACGCAGCACATAGTAGAATAAATCCATCTGTTTGCTTTGTTTAATTGAAAGACGTCGTGTTTGTGTGCAATGTCGAAAGTTCAATGAACTGTAATGGCAGAATATAACCTACGTATACAATGATTGTGTTATCATCGAGTCCAGTATGTATGTATTGCGCTGCAACACCCATTACGACTCGAGACTCGGCTGAGAACCAGTACAGTACACTAGATATCTGTATTGTACACGAGAATAGTGTCCTACATCTCATCTGCTGTGGTAAATGCGACTAAACACGTATCTAATCCCCATTCCAGCTTACAATACATGCACACACGGTGCGGAAACGTCCCGATCACAAATCGCAGGTATGTTGCAGGCCTAAGTAGGACCTTTAAACACGTTCTGATTGGCTAGGAACAGCCCGAGCACATCGGGGTTACCAAATCTGGTGAGACGACAAATAGACACAAACGTTGAGTTTACGGGCGCCCGCAAGGCTCGCCGCTCACGTCGCTTCTGCGTGCTACCGTAAGTCTACCATTCTGCTTTCATGCTCGACTCTGCGCAGAAGACAACAGTTGAGGTTCCTGGGACACATTTAGGGGTGAGTTTAACCAGGTAAGCTTGCCTGGCCTAGTCATCTATGCACGCACTAATCTACTACCCGCCCTAGAGTCCAGACCGACGGGCCTCTTGCCAACGAGTATGTCGGACGGTGTGTCGACGAGCGTGTCGAATGGCACATCGACAAGTAGGGTGAGTGTGTCGGCGGGTACAAAGGTATGTACTCGCTCTGGCAGATCCTGACGGAGGCGCATGACGGGCACAAGTGCGTCGACGAACACGTCGGGTGCCGCATCGACAAACACGTCAGGCGCCGCATCGACAAACATGCCGGGCACAGCATTGACGAACGCGTCGAGCGCTGCGTGACGAGCATGAACAGCGTGTCAGCGAGCACGACCCACCCATCAACAGGAGTCGCCGCAGCATGGCAAGTGCAACTGCAAGCACTACGCGCGGCGAGTGAGCCTTTGGGCAGGGCGCACGACGCATGCCACTGGGAACCTAGGGACGACGAGTGAGAGGACGAACCGTGCGGGCCTATGGGCGACGGATGGGAAAGTGATGGGTGGGACGGCGATGAACGTTGAACAGGCGGGCGACGACTAGGAGTAGTATGGCGTAGTCAGTGTTGCAGCTGTCTGTTCTGTAGTGCTTAGTATACTGCGTAGTGTCGATATCATGGAGATCTCTAAGGCCACTGCATTTGACCGAGCACGATAATTTGTCAGGGCCTCGAACATACCAAAATAGGAGGGCTGTTGTGGCCCTTCATGCGCATTGCATCAAGGCTTGAAGCAGTCATTGTCATCGCAATGAACAAATCCTTAAGTGTATGTCGCGGAGTGCAACATGTGCAGCATATATGTCATGGGGCACGACATACATGTTATCCGTCTGCCGGATCTAGATACAAACCATCTAGGCACGGTGCCAAAGAATCCGCTATATACGGCACAGTATCTGGCCCCAGTAAACGTCAGATCTCACTGATCGCTCGTTGCGATCACATTCGCCCGATGGGCCCGCGACAGGACCCAAAGAGGAAGAGCGCGTGACGGTGCCCATTTTGGGTAGTGCCGCCGGCGCCGCGAGCTCTCCCGGGCAGTCCATAAAGGGCAGCTGCCTTTTCGGGTAGCGAGCGGGGCGCCGGCTGCAGTGATTACTGCGCCTTCATACATGAAGGGAGATTGTAAGTACAGGGATTTATGTATGATCTGTTTGTGCTTACAACAGGTATTCATACATGAGCATGCCAGCATCTGGTGCGAGTATACCCAGCTATGTATATCTTCGTATCGATGGAAGCTCATGTGTGGTGCCAGTGCCTCCTATGAATGCAGAGGATCCCCCGTAAGTGATGCACGAGGCCCATGAACTCGGACGCATGTGGCCACTTACTGTTGGCTCGAGCAGTCGGCAGCGATGGTCACCAAGATGTACGAGAGTCAACGCGCACTGGACGGGATCTTACCGCGCTGTATCATCCACACTTGTGAATGTATTTCCTGTTTGGTCTCAGGAGACTGAGGATGATACAGGGCTCTTAACGTGCGCGTGAATGGAGTCGTTAAAACCCACCAGACGGCACAGTAGATCAAGCAATAAGAAGATGGCGAGCACATTTCTGGACTGTACAAATCTGACGACGGGCGACGTAGTCTGCAGGGACAGCAAGCATGGCGCGCGCGAGAACGAGAGAAGCGTCAGTGCGACGACAGACAAGCAAATGCCAGACACCGTTAACGGTGCGCGACACGGCGCGCACGTGATGGACGCGTCCACACCGGCTCCGAGTTGGATTGGGCTCTCGACGCCAAGATCCACGGCCGCGAAGGCCAACCGGATTTATGCCTCCATCATAATGGACTATTAGCCTGTCTGGCAAGTATCGCGGTCACGTCTGCTCGCCCTTCCCCTAGTTCCGTCTCTTGGGTGTTCCACGTCCCATGGCCAATCGCAGGTTCACGCGCCGCAAGTACTGACTGACCGCATCGCAGGGAGTGAATGAGGATGATCGCAACAAGCCCAAGCTCGAACATGGACCTGAGGTGCAGTGTGATTGGTGACGGATGGAGAAGTCAGTACCGGTCACCGTAAACCTCTCCGCACATGTCCACGAAATAGCCATGCATTTCATGACAGCACATATGGCTCTCTCCTTGTGCAAGGAACGGCTTGGTAAAGGTGCTCATCGGTAAAAGCCAACTACACGAGAATGAGTGGTGCTTACCGCCTCACAGAAGCATTATCTGCGACTTCTGGTCCCGCAAGTTCGCCCGCCGCCTGTCGAGATCTAAGTGCTGCCATTGTTTAAGCTTCATCATGCGCCCGACCGCCTCCTCCTATGAGTCCGCGCCTGTGCGGCCGACGAGACACGTTCTTCGATGACGCGCCGTTCGATGACACTCAGCTTTGATCTCGTGGGATGCCGGAGGCTGACGAGCACGAACTCAGGGAATTGTGTTGACTCGGGGCAGGGGACAGAGTCTTCTAGACCACTGAGGAAGTCGATAAGCAGTCATCCAGCGCGTCTGATGTACCTGTGACGTGAGATTAGCAAGTGCCTGCGTCGTGAGCACCGAGCGAGAAGGACGGACCTGGCGTCGTACGCTAAAGTCGCCGTTCTGGCTATGACAGAGCCACTGACGACATCCGTCAACGCGTTCCCGAACTCGCTGTGCACGCCGTCAAAAAGCGGTCACTCAGTTTAGAGAGTGATTCATACCTGAGTGAGTAGGAGACGTGGTTGATGAGCAAGTCCGCATAGTCGTCGACGAGTGGGCAGGCACCGCCGACGCATGAGAAGGAGTGGTCACCGAAGCTCTGGCCTCGCCGAGGCAAACAGATGGGACGAGTGAGAGGCGAGGGACATAGCACGTCAGAAGATGCGCACGCTGAGGGGCATCGCCATGCTGTTACTGCCGTGAATGCTGGAGGGTGGATGAGAAGAAAGACAAGGGCGTCGGGAGAGACGCCGGCGGCCGAGATGGAAAGACTCGACGGGGCGAGGGATGCTATTCATACGCTAATGGGAAGGGTGCTGAACGATATTAGCGTTTGAAACAAAGTATGTGTGCGCGACGCACCAGGACACAACCGGCTCTCCTGATATAAATGACAGGGCTTGCTCGTTTTCTGCCTCGCCTTTCCTTGCCTCCAAACATCTCCCGTCCCGCCAGTCACGCCCTTACTCGATCGTATCTTCCACCGTTGATAGGTCGCTCCCATATTCCTCTGAAAGGCAAGTCTCCTCAGTCTGTCGAGGCCGAATTCCGGGGAAATACGCGGTGCATACCTCCCATACTGCACTGTCCACCAGGCCAGGCGACCGGCACATACGCATACATGCGTGCTGTCGTCCGCAGAAGTCGATGACCGACAGGCCGTTCGATGCTGAGGCTCGCGTTGTCACTCACTGTACATGGCCTGCTAATCGCCTACAGCTCTGTGAGCACGGCGCAAGGAGAGGCTAAGCAAGAGTCAAGAGAACTCACGTTGTTGCGTGTCGACTCGCCGGGACTCACCAGCCGTCTTCGTTCGACCTCGCACTTTCACTGCACTTTGTTCACAGTCCTAGTCAGCAGCCAAGTCCTTCCACTAGTGCAGAACATAGCGCAGACGAACGCGCGACATATGATGACAATAGCCTATCCACACGAGACGTCGTTCCCACCTCACCACACCCGCCCACCATGTTTGCGTGCATCGATGTCCTGCAGCAACCGTCATGAGACATGTCTGCGACCGCTGACACGATCCCGGACGCCTGCAGGAGTACCGCCATGCCGCAGACAATTGAACGTGTATCTGCCTTCTACACCAGTCTACGACGTCTGTCGACTCGTCCATTGTAGCTGACTGCAGCATGGTGTAGGGAGCATTATGCATTGTTACTCTCATGGAATACATTATAGAGTGTCCGAGAACGTGACCGTGTCGCTATGCTCGTACAGGTGCTAGTGCAGACGACTGTGAAGCCACAAAACATGGTGGTGCAGAGTGGGTGAACCAACGTCAACTGTGGCGGCCAAGGCGCGGCGCTTATTGTCATCATATGTCGCGCGCGTTCGTCTGCGCCTAATGTTCTGCAACTAGCTGTCATGGCTTTCACGCCACACACCCATTATGGATGGCACAATGCAGAGTCGAAGGAGGAGCGAAGGAGGACTTTGGGTGAACGTTCCGGTCGATCTCCGGCGCTTCGCGGATGCAAAACTCCACTAGGCCGCCGACCGAGTTCCCTTCTCCGAGTCTGGTGGCCGACTCCCTCCTCCCCGTCCACAAAACGACCAACCGAGACACAGCCCTTCAAGGGCAGTGCACAACAATTCAGGTATACTTACCTACAGACACTTGATAGCCCTCGGTATGGCATATATGACTAGTGTAACTGGGCCGACGGTGCGTGTATTTCATGAGACCACTCGCTTCTTTCGGCGTCTCGCGTAGGTTCAATACTGTAATAGTGAGGCCCTTGAGGTCTGTGCGAATGGGACCTCCAGCGCCCACTGTCGCCGTTCATTTCACCCTTTTTACGCACCGAATGACGTGAAGCGGGCGAGTTGAGACTCTTTATCACGACCTACGAGCCACACACTCGAGGCTTTGGCCACCGACGCTGCCGAATGACACGACTTTCATCTTCTCACTCACGTCCGCGATCTCATCGTGCGTTTGGGCCAGACGGAGACTTCGTATGTGGGACACTTACGAGATGGCGAAGGTGCCAATATGATTTAGATACTTGCTATGCATCAGGTCCCCAGTGTGCATCGCCCAATGAACAAGAGGACGCACGTCCGATTCCCATCCGTCCTCGCGGGGAATACTACTAGGATGAAGGAAGTGGGGGTGTCTGAGTCATAGCCTCATAGGTGATGTGTTACGTTGGTGGATCAACTTGATGCATGTATTCGACTTGTGTTTCCCGTGATTCCGCATGGCAAGAGCGTGTGTTACTACTTAGTGGGAGAGGACCATTGAGATAACCTTGCCTACGAATTCCAGAACTCATCTGTTTTCACATCCTGTGCCTCGCCGGTGTCGAGCTGGGGGGGAGGGCGGCTGCACTACGTCCGATAGGTATCAGGTGTTGAGTGACTGGCGGGTGTTGCCAGTGGGAAGGCAGCCATCGCTCGCAGCATAATATGCAATCAGAATCATAAAATTGTCTATCTGCGACCAGCAGCGAGTACTCGCAGGGATCCAGTTGTCGGGGTCGGCTCCGATGTGCAGCCTGGTCCGCAATGAGTCGGGGCGTAGGCTCAAGTGTAATTTCCCGGAGAACAATTTTCTGGTCACGGTACATACACATGTACCGTCACTCTGGGGCGGTATGAGTTTTGAGCGACGTATCTAGTAGGTATGTAGGATGTGTCAGGGTTCGGCGGGAGTCTTCTTACTACGTTGGCTTTTATGAACTATCAGCCACGATGATATTGTACTCGCAACGTATCTAGTAATGAGACTAGTGGCAAGCTCCACCTCAGTGTAACTTGTTGTGTGCGCTCAATCCTCCTCGCCTGAGAACGGGATGAACCGTAAACAAACCCGCCGGGTATTCACAATACTATTCCCTGCCCCTCCAGCCACAGACATCATATGAACAGCCTAGGACTCGCTTGAGGGTGTCATTGTTACTAAATCACGTCCTATCGCATTATCAATGGGCACTCTAAACCAGACGATGATATAAACATGACAATGCGTTCATGTTATCCTACTCGGAATCCCTGATGATCTCCTCGATGACATGGTCACATTCGATGTATAGCCTATCGGGCCTCACGTTCGTTTGCTCCGCTGTTTCGAGATCAATGATGCGGAATCCGTAGACACGGCCAGTCCTGGGTGATGCCAGACTTGGGAGACCCTCAAGCCCCGAGTCTTCATCCACGCACAAAACGTTCTCGTGCCTCAGATCATGGTGATAGATCCCGAGTTCACAGAGATCCTTGTACATGTCATAGAGGTCCTCTCTGGTTGGGACAATTGCAGTGAGTCACACCAAGGTTAGAAGCGATGCCAGATACCATCAACTCACCGCAGGTCTTGGCCGAGACCGTAATAATCGGACACGGGACGGCCTACGAACTCGAGTAGCAAGATGCTGAGGCTCGCATTCGCATTAGGCATCAACCAAATGTTTCCGAAAAGACTGGAGGGCCGTGTAAAGTACCCGTAGCAGCGCGGGATGACGCTTCCTTGCAAAGAAATCAGATGGTCATACATTGCGGCCTCTTTAGCGAGGCCCTGACCATCGGATTCGGATTCCACAGAGACCTTGATGACCATGGGTGGGTAGGTGAACGCCTGAGACGACTCGTGCGACGTCCGCGGAACGACTCTGTAGACGTGGTGGTGGCCCTCTTGATTTATCACCTCGCTCAGTTCAAGATGGAGTTCGAGATTCCCGTCCGGCGGGAGGATGAGCCCATCTAGCTAAACACCCTGTTGTTACCCGGCCACCCGACGTGAGATTCACTTATCGCTGCCCGGTCACCCGACGTCGGCCGACGGTTTGACTCCCACATTATTTAGTGTGTCTAACACGTTACCAACGTTAAACCCGGAGTGAGATTCGGTCGTTTCGAACGTTGACCCGGAGGCCGACCGGAGCAAGCAGTCGGTCGATGTAAGCGTTCCGGCCGGTGTTCCCGTGGAATGCTGCGAACGTGGCGGCCGCCCAGGATGCATGATTCCACAGACACGTCTGGGTAGGTGCGGCCGTACCCTAGCATATCTCAAATAAAATCCGGGTGTGCTATGCCCAGTCTTTTGAACGTTCCGGCCGGCCATTTATGCAGCCCTGCGGCCGTACCCAGGGCTCGCTGCGTGTGCTCGGCCCGACGTTACAGACGCTCCGGCCGGCCATCCAGATACCTCTGCGGCCGTACCCAGGGCTCGCTGTGTGTGCTCGGCCCGACGTTACAGACGCTCCGGCCGGCCATCCAGATACCTCTGCGGCCGTACCCAGGGCTCGCTGCGTGTGCCCGGCCCGACGTTACAAACGCTCCGGCCGGCCATCCAGATACCTCTGCGGCCGTACCCAGGGCTCGCTGCGTGTGCCGGCCCGACGTTACAGACGCTCCGGCCGGCCATCCAGATACCTCTGCGGCCGTACCCAGGGCTCGCTGCGTGTGCTCGGCCCGACGTTACAGACGCTCCGGCCGGCCATCCAGATACCTCTGCGGCCGTACCCAGGGCTCGCTGCGTGTGCTCGGCCCGACGTTACAGACACTCCGGCCGGCCAGTTTGAGACCATTCGTCAGCCCATCCCGACTCTGTGCTCCGCATTCATTGGTTCTGGGCTGCAGCTTCACCGAGTGTTATAGCATTTACGAGCAATACAAACCACTAATACACGCATTACAAGTAATCACGTTAGCCCGACCGACCCCTCGCCTGGTAGTACTCTACCACCCAGTCAATCGCGCGGTTGTTCCGATTGTTGGCTGCCTGAAGCGCGGTGAGTGCATCAATGCGGGCCATGATCAGCGCCTTCTCGGCCTGAAGCTCGGCAACTCTTGTCGGTGTTGCACCCGTGAATGCTGGGCCGGGAACTGAGCACGCAAAATGTCAGTAAATCCGGAATCGGGATCATGGAGACACAACAGTACAGTTTGGCGGCCAGTCGACATCTGGGTGACTGTCTGCCTCCCACAGGTTATTTCCGTAATCGTACCGATCAGTCATAGTAACTGAGAAGGTGAAAAAGGGATCTTCTTCCCTGCCAAACAACATGGCCTCGTCGTGTAGTCGATATGCTATAATCACGACGTCATCAGACTTGACACCGAGCTGTCATGAAGTCCTGATGCACGCCCAAGCCTACACCACCGACCGGGCGAGTGTATAGACTTCTGCCCGGAGCACGCAACGTACCCGGCGCGCAGTGCCGAGAACCAGGTCTCACAGAGCTGTGCGTACAAAAGCTCACTCACCATCTTCGTTGCTGCTCGAGATCGGCAACGTGATGTTTGAGGACTGGGTAAAAAAAATGAGCATGTGTGTGACATGGTGCGATGAATACGTACCGAGGCCATGACCTCGCTGGCTCCCAACACAGTTGAATCCGGGGCCCCGATAGGTGCATGGGCGATTGCGCGACCCGGCTGTTCCCCTTCGAGCGGGGAGTGTGCCATGCCATCCCGCTTCGATGCCTGCCCGTAGGTGACCAATCGTGCCGTCCGGCCGTCAGGCCTAAGCGTGTCGTTCCGAGGCAACGATGGCCTAAACGCATCGGGACGAGGCATTTTCAGCATGCGAGGGCGCGGGCGAGGCTTAGTAGCTAGAGGTACAGGGGGCGCGGAGTTGTGGTTGGCACTGGCTGCGACGGTGTGGGTTCCCTTGTCCACGATCTCCACGTCGGCATCCCTGCTCGCGCTTCTCCGGGACGGCTTCGTATGACCTACAACCACAACCTCCGGGTCAGTAGGTGGTGCCCCGGGATCGGTGGATGTGTCTTGATTTCCTGCCAGAGCGGGTTGTCGAGGCTGCGTAGCGTTCCCCGACATCTGGGTGTGGCCCGGACGCCAAACCCGGTAAGTGCAGCCCAACTCATAATGTGGAAAACACATACCTTAGGCATCCTCTTGAAGGGAAGGCCCCATCTTCCGATCTTGACAGAGGTGTCGGTAGCCACTTGCCCCGGGGGTTGATTGGGCTAGAGTGTGGCGGATCAAAGAGAATAGTAAATTCAACTATGCAACATGCAAACCCGAACATCACTTACCTCACTTGCCCCACTTCGGTTGTCGGGTCCTGGCAGTACCCCAGAACCGGCCCCAATCACCTTGTCTGTTTGCGGCGGGGGAACCTGTGTCGTGGTTGCCTGAGAAATCGAGTTGGTTAGTGTAGGGCAGTTGCCAAAGTACAATATTATTAGCACTCACTGAAGTTCTGACACGCTTGACCGGCGCCTCCTGTAACTCCCCGGCATCCTCGAGATCCGTCTCGCGCCGGACAGACTGAGCTCGGTCCTGCATACACGTCGGGCAGTGTTAGAGTAAACGAGACAAAGGGACTTACATTGCCGGGCAGGGTATGCGAGCCCTTACGCTTCATCGGGACATTGAACCCTCCTGGCCGCACACGATAGTTTCCCGCCTTCGCATCCCCGGCTGCCGTGCTCGGAGTCTTCTTCTTGAGATTGACAGTGCTCTGTTTCGCCGAGTGATTGTCAGTGCGACTCAGGAAGACACCGGAAACGTTAGCTTACCTCAGGCTGAACAGCCCCGCCTTCCACAGCTGATGGTGGCTGCGCGACATCGGACTGGATACCAGCGCCAGTGAAATTCGGGGTGCCGGATGCGACTGGAATGGCAGAATCTGGCCCGAGTAGTCAGTACGCGCCCTGATAAACGCAGAACACGCCGCACCTTGTGCAGACATCAATGCAAGTTGGATGGACTTGGAAGGGGACGGAGTGCAACAACAACGCGACGCGCCATCACGATGTTCATCTTCGGGTAAATTTCCCGCGGCCCGCCGTGTGCACGTGACCGTCGGTGTTGGACTTTGCGATCGGTGTGGCTTCGCGTCGCTTGTCTCTTGCTTTCATCACGTTCTGTCTCCCCGCTCCCGTCCTCGCAACTCCGTCCACTCAGCTTTGTTTTTTGTCGCCCGAACCATGTCGACCGACAATGCCACCGCCGCCGCCACCGGCTCCGCCCTCGCCCAACCGGCCGACGAGCCCGAGTTTCCGGTCACGGCAATGAGGCCGGGACAAATGGCCGCGTACCTCCAGGACAGAACCCAGCGTCTCATGAAACTCCTCGGGGGCCGCCTGGTTGAGGTGGACGAAGAGGAGGAGCTCCTGGAACAGATCGTAAGTCTTCACAGCATGCTTTGTGCACCGGTCGGTGGTGTTGACTTTGGTCTTTGCAGATGGAACCCCTGGTGGAGCTCGTGGTAAGTACACCTCCATCTCACGCATGGTCGAATAGATGCTGACCGTATCTCGTAGCACGAGGTCATGTTCCAGATCGCCTTGGCCTGGTCCCAGCAAGAGGATCCCGAGGACCGTCCGGTGGTGCCCTTGGTGCTCCTGTCGGCGATCGTGGAGCTCAACATCGTCGACGCGGAGGGGGTCCCAGTGAGGCTCTCGCTCATTCGTCCGGACGACGACCGCCTGCCGGACTGCGAGTGGTACAACCCACTCGCAGTGACGGGATTGTATTCCCCGCCTGGCTCGAGGAATGCAACCGGGGGACCATCCCGCCAGGGCCCGGCCGTACGCTTCCAGGATCTTGCGGGGAGTGAGTCGGATGGTGAGGAGGAAGCGCCGGTGCAGGAAGACCGCATGGAGATCGATGACGAGGAACCGAGGCAATCCCGGCAAAAGGGGAAGAAGTCGGCTACCAAGAAGCGCAAGCGCTCTGCGAGCCCGCCGAGATCTCGGAAGGGAAAACAGCGTGCGCGCCGGGAGGACGACGAGTCGCCGGACGAGGAGGAGCTCGATCGGGACCAGGAGGAGGAGGAGGAGGAGGAGGAGGAGGAGGAGGAGGAGGAGGAACAAGTCTCGGCGAAGGCAAAGGGGAAGCGTGAGTGCCCTGCCATTGTTCTGCATGACGTGGCTGACACACCGGTATCAGGCAAAGCGGGACGCAAAGGCATCCTGAAGTTGGACACGCCGGACGCTACAGTGGACGCGAAGAAGGCCAAGGCCATCAAGAAGGACCGGGCGACATTCGTGATGGACTACAATGCCGAGGGTGAGACCCGGAAGAGGGGGGACAGGGAACTGCGGGTGAGTCGCACTGATCATAACTTCGTGTGTTCTGACCACTCACCTCGTTGCCAGGACCCACCTTGCACTGCGTGCAAGGGATTCCCCTGCTACATCTCGGTCAAGAAGGTGTCAGCATTCCGGAAGGACGGCAAGCCGAAGAAGAGAAAGGTCGCCGCGTGCGACTTCTGTCATGTGAAGAAGACCAAGTGCGAAGGCATCGATACCGAAGGCACGTTCAAGCCACAGAAGGCTGGCCGGGGGAGGTCGTCGGCGGGAAGTTCCCGCGCAAGCAGCGTTGCCTCCGAGCGCTCCGAGAGTGTTGCCGACGGGCCCCCAACCACCAACGGCGATTCGGACACCGAAAGCGAGAACGGCTCGGTCGCGACAACTGGGTCCCGGCGGAGCACCAGACGCAGCAACACCCCGTCGCGCCGCCCGACCCCGGTCACCAAGCAGCCTCCCAAACGGAAGGGGAGAGCGCCTCCGTCGAAAGGAAAGGGTAAGAAAGACCGTGGCGAGGGATCGTCAAAGGCGGAGACCGGCCCTGAGCCCCCACGCAAGCGGGCGAAGACTGCAACGGACCCGCCGCCCGATCCCAGTGACATCAGTACGTCGGCTTTCCCTCCGTTGACCATACGCACCACTAAGCTTGTAGGGCGTATGTATCCAGTTGGCCCGGGTGGAGTTCGTGGTTCAC